TATATATATGTGTGTGTGTGTGTGCGTGTGTGTGTGCGTGTGCATTTATATATACATACTTACGTCGTATAGTGTTCACGTACATGTATATATGAATATATATATATATATGTGTGTGTGTGTGAGAGAGTGTGAGAGAGAGAGAGAGATTACGTTTTTGTATACATGTATGTATATATATATATATATTGGTATAGTATATATATATATATCTTGGTGTAGATAGATCTCTATATTCGTGTATGTTGTGTATATATATATATATATATGTATGTATATATATATGTTTGTGTGTGTATGTATGTATGTATATATATTTCTATGTCAGTGTATATGTCTATGCCTATGTATGATTATATATATATATATGTCTGTCTGTGTCTGATCTTTGTGCGTGTACATGTGTGTCTGTGCATGTTTATGTGTATCTGTGTGTCTAGTGTGTGTGCGTACATATATATATGTGTGTGTGTCTGTGTCTGTGTCTGTGCATGCGTGTGTGTACGTTTATACACATATATTTACATACTCGTCTGTATATATGCATATGTATATGTCTATGTATGATTATATGTATATATATATATATATATATATATATATATTTGTGTTCGTGTGTGTTTGTATTTGTGCGCTTGGATATGTATATATATAGTGTTAGTGTGTATGTATATATATGTGTGTGTGTGTGTGTGAGTGTATGTGTGAGTTTTTGTATATTTATATGTATGGTATATAAATGTATATATGTATGTGCTTATATATTTATATATATATACATATGTATATGTATATATATATATATATATGTATGTATGTATTTTTGTATGTATGTATATCTATATCAATCTTACTTATGCCGATATACGTTTTTTTTTCCGAGAATTGCAATCGTTTTTGTAGGAGTATACCTTTTCAGGTCTACGAATTGCCTTCTTCACAGTGTATGGCGCTGGTCTCGTGACCAGAGAGATAATCTTGCTGAGGTGTTTGTATAAATAGATCATATCACTTGAATTGACTGCACGCACTCTTCTCATTCCTAATCTGAAATGTCTTATACGCGTGTTAGAAGTGAGCGTCATATATTATTATCTCGACAATGTGCGCGCTGTCCTTATCTGTATCTTGAACCCCCACTTTACAGTGCCCGGTGAATATACGGATATCGACTTAAGAAACACCGATCGAGGTATCCTTCACTCGTATCCACATGTCCCGTTGTACCATGCACAATTGCGCCCGCAGGACATGCCTGAAGGTCTGGAATGGGAGGATCGCCAAGAACGCCGTCATTTTGAGGAACCGGTGGGTGTATCTATATATGTCTATATACCTGCAATCTGTTTTTGCGCATGCGTGCCTGGTTTAACATGGTTTTCTGTGACCCTTACTGAGTTTGTCCGGTCGTCTGGATCTGTTGTTGCGTTGCTTGAGTAGAACTACCCCGCTGGGGGGGGGGATCTGGCTATATTCATCATCGTCATGGTTTTTTGAGATATTTTACGAAAATGTTCACGATGAGCGTTCTCGATTTCAGTAAAACTGCTGTGAAGTATCTTATTTCTGATTCTTGACTTCACTGTAAGCAGAATCGAAGTCTTTTAGGTGAGATTCAGGTGTTTGTCGCGGGTATATATCAATACGCTGGGTTTGAAGAGCATATCTCGGTTTTTATTGATTTCACTGTTTTAAGTCACTATATGAAATATCGGAGCAGTTATGCATGTGACATACGCCTTGTACTGTGATACCTGCTACTTCAGAAAATTTCAGTGCAGATGGTGGATCCAACACCTCAAAATCCTGTATATCGAATTTACAACAATGTCGCTGTGTCTCATTTGTTCCTTTGCCATACACAGCTTCACGAAGATGATGAGATTCTCACGGTTTGGGCCGTCGATGACCAGTGCGAGAACCACATCACACCCAACGAGGCTCTGGCTCAAGTAGTCATGGCTCTGTTCGGTCTCTTCGCATTGTATAAGACAGTCGTATACTGTAAGGGTGATATGTCAATGCCACCTCTGGTATGTATTTTTGAGATTCTAAAAGTATCCCCATTTATGCACGAATTTTTGTAGGTTCATGTTGGCTTGTGATTTCAGTCGCGCAGTGTGCTTGAGAGCAGTAATAGAACATGTTTCCAAATTGGTTGATATTAATGTGTGAATATCCTTGCTAAGCCTTCAGCAGCTTCCGAACAATTTATATATTACTTAATTACTCATATAACATCTTTCAATGTAATAAATAACAGGCTAAGAAGGAGATGAGCGACCCGTGTGCAGAGAGGAACTACCAACAGATCTAAAGGTGCATTTCTTAGGTCTACTTGTTCAAGGTTATTTGAATGAATAGATGGAATTTTGTTTCGTAATAAAAATCCCTTACGCGCGCTACTTTTAAAATTGTGGTGCTACAGTTAAATCACTATTAAAAGTTTAAATATTTGTTTATGTTTGTATGTATATATATATGTGTGTGTGTGTGTGTGTGTTTCTTCATATATGTCGAACACATATACATGTATATGTACATAATTGAATGTGCGTATTGAAATATATGTTCATAGAGATATGTGCAACCCTATTTTATATTATCCATTGCTTTTTAATTGTATTTGTTATTATGTACCATTATACATTCGGGTATATTTGTATACATCGTCATTTGCAAGTATACATGCATATATCAAACTCTTGAGGCAGCATTATATAAGACGCTGTATAGTTACACTATTCATCATCTTATATACTTTGTTTTTATTTATATAATTAAAGTGTAGATCTATGATATATCTTTTTAAACTTGCTCCCTCGAGAATGGATAACGGGCAAGCCGACCTCAACCAGCTCCTTCGAGAACAGTTGGACGCCAGTACCGTATTCGCTGCCAACGGATATCTAGTACCGGCAGTTGCTTCGAATGGATTGTACAAGAAGACCCCGGCCTTAAACTGATTCGAATATCTGCCCTCTTAGAATACCATACCCGGAACGCGGTTACCAAGTATGCCTACCAACCCCAACTTCAGAAGCACATCTTATCTACTAAAAAAAGCGGCACGAACTAACAGTGGTGAGAGCCAGCACAAACCAGAAGGCGCAGGAGGAGGAAAAAGTTGGAAGGTCAAACGCCTTAGCCACTTCATCTAATGACATGATCTAAACTCATAGAATGGAGAAAGCTCAGAACCAGATTCAACTTCGCGTTCCTTTCTTCCTTTTGTTAAGATCCGAGAGGTCGTCTAATTCCAGAATTAAGGTATTTCATACACTGGCGGTGTGCGACTAATCGGGCCTCAGCCTTTTCGTAGAAATCTATGATAAAATTGAGATCGGGGTATGATCGGTCTAATTCATTGGGGTCCTCCGTATTTGTTTGGGAGTTTTCGTTTTAGTACAGAGATTTGCCTTGCTGTAGGATGTTCATCATTGTCTGTAATCGTAGTACCCTCTAGCAAAGAGGGGTCTATCAATTTCGCTGATTTCACCAGGTGGTGGAACATTTGATCCTTCAATGTCTTCTTACAAGCAGTGGGGAATTCAGATATTTCGTTCTCAATTACCTTCAGCTCTAATTCCTTGGCTTCAACAGTTAGCGGTGCTTGGTCCTGACGGTACTTAAGAGCATTGACTTGCCAGACTTTGATAAGTGAGTCCTTAAGCGCAGTTTGGGTTGAATTCAGAGTCATGTTTGAAGAGGCGAGATCGTTGATCTTTGGTAATAATGACGAGGGTAACTTTCCATCTGTGATGCGTGATTTTAAGATTCTCCAGCTCGGACTTCCTGTTGTTAACATCCCTGAGTAGAGACGCATATCTCTGACCAGATTCATCAATAAAATCGTTCATTTGTGAGTCACTGCGAGTCGTCATAGTGGAGTCGAGTTCCTCTGAACAAGTCCGAGAAGTAGGGTTTATTATGATAGAATAATGGTCTTGGGTAGCTTGATACTTGACTGTAACTTCCGTAGGCACTGCTTCGATATCGAAATAGTCTACCTTTTCGGCGGCTAGCATTCTTCAGCCAAATCTAATGTATATAATGAACCATTTTATGATCTCTGCTTATATACTTTTTTTCTTCAATCTAGTCAATAAAACTAAAAGTTGTCCTTTTTAGCTAATAACATCTTTAAAAATTAATCGAAGATCAAGAGTACCAACGTGATACTCTGTCCGGGGCAGAGCATGTCGGAGTATATACTCATATTCTATCATAGATTAAAGGTACTCAGTGACGTGATGGCGGTGGAGAAGCTCAGAGGTGTGGGCCGAGAAGCGAAGATGATCAGCGATCATACTTAGAAATTAAGTGAAAATTACTGAGACTGAAAATTCCGCTAAAACTTGCAACCGAACCCGGGGCTTCGGCCTGACACAATAGAGACCTTAACCAATAAATCAACTGACAGCTGTCTAGACAGAAAGTCAATTATATTTTTTTGTATTGCTTTATCAGCAGTTGGGCTAGGTTTGGCGGGCGATTGTAGGCTACTAATACTTTTCCTGATCCTTGATCCATCAGCGTTCAAAATAGTTGGCTAATGCCTGTCTTTTCTCTAAGCTAATGTCAGTCGTATCCTCTTGGATCGTACGGAATATATAAAAAGAAGACATGTTCAGTAGTCCTCTCTGTAGTAGTGTCTGTCGTCAGTATCTTCGTCGTGTTTATTGACCATCTATCATCGGACTGAGTTGACGGGCCGTGTATCCTCTCGTTTTGAGTCTTCGATACGTCTTCAGTATAAGCTGACGAAAGTTGGGTCTGTCGTTGTGTCTCTTGAACTTGATTAGCATGCCGTAAATCAATCCATACAGAACTCTAGGGGAATGAGCACTCTTGATGGTTACATATAGGTATAGGATCAATGCTATCTCGAAGTTTTGGCACGGTAATCTTTCGTGTTTAATAGATATACGCAAGTCCAGAAATTCCAGGGGCTTTCTCCAATTTTTGGATAAGTGAGACGCGAAGTTAAGGCCCCATCACAGCTCAACTTGATCGCTTGTGTCAGTGGCGCCGTTGCAATTCTCCACTGGTACTGGCAACTTGCCCTCCACTACCTCAATGTTGCGATGGTGTTCCATGCTATTGTCACCCGTACTTAGCCTCTCTAACAGTTCATTCCACCATCTCTCCCACGCACTCTGTGACCTATCAAGCCAACTTTGTCCGGAGCAGGCTCTCGTCCGCTATCAATGAAACCAGAAGATGAAACTACTTAGCATAAGGCGAATATGGCGCCACAAGAGTCATCCACACCGTTTCCTCCGCAACCTTGAGCACGACCTGATACATCAGCAAAAAACATGGGTGCATCTACCAATTAACCGACGGGTCACCCCAATAACGATCGAAGGCTTCTCCCGCCAAAGACGGTGTACAATAAACACCCAGGTGTTGATTGCCAGGAATGGCAAACGCAGCTACATCATGCGGCCCCCATTTCTTTTTCAGCAACCTGGACCACTTGCTGGCCAACTCATTTTCTTCGGTCGCCACCATGTGCACTAGCCCCCTGGCGAATGTTAAATGGAGGTTGGTCTTACCCCTGTGCACCTTCATGATCGAGTCTATGCCTTGGCACAGTCTGGACATCACGTCAGCCATCGAATTGTCTTACCCCGGGGAAGTATACATTCAGGATATGATATCCAGGTTGCGCCCCGTCAAGCTCGGAACCACAGAAGGACACGGGCAACACCTTGCCGGCTCTTTTGACCACGCAGACACCCCCTATACCCACATACTCACACGCATCGGAGAACAGAATCAACTGTTCGTCTATCCTGGGTTCTGCCAGCGTCGCGCAGTGGCGCAAGAAGTACGCACATTCCTCAAAAGCGCGTTGATGCTGCAGCAAGTCCGCAATACAGGCCATCACCCTCGAGAAATTGGGCAACAACCCACCAGGCCACTGTGTATAGTACGACCGTACTAACTCTTGAGGCTGAGCGAGGCTATCAATCTATCATCCGTAATAGAACTACTATGAAAGTCCACCCCACGCTCCAGCAGCACAACTGTCCACCAAAAGAAAGCCCAACGCGCACACAAACTCCCCCAACCAGTTTCAATGATAAATGGGCCGATTATGCCCAAAGCTCTTATCGTCAATGTACCACAATACCGCCAACAATACTATAAATAGTCCTTCCAGAATCTGCTGCATTCTCCATGACGACTCCTTTAAACCAAACGGCATCCACACAAACGTGTAGGGTTCCCATGGAGTCGTGAACATCAAATACTTGCGAGACTCCTCAGCTATCTGCACCTGTCAGAAACTCTGCCCGTCGACGGTTACCATTCCTTCTTGGTAGGAATATAATAGGGCTTTGCCTCCAACTGCTCATTGACCTTTTTCAGATTAACACACATTCGGTACCCGTCGGCATCCTTAGGCAGCTTTACTCCCGGAACCTTATTGACAGTGTGTGATCGAGCACAACATACCCCACTGCTTTGGCTCAACAATGCCCGATGCATTCCAGGCTCCCCCCTTTCACCTTCAATACCTCCTCCTTGACTGGATCCTTCTCCCCATATTACGAGGCCCCTGTCTCTCCCGCAGTACTAGAAGTGGGACATCAATGAACTTGGATTGTGTTGATCGTACGCCACCTCCATAGTGTATTCAACTAGCACATCAGCTCACTACTCTCCAGCTTACCACAAGCCTTAGCCAATTCATATATACCTGATAAGTCACAGGACGTGTCTTCCTCTGTATACTCAAAAGTCTTCCGTTTTTTGGTGTGGTAACTCTACCCATACCATGTAATCCTTCAGTACCGGCATCCTGACAGGATTTTGAGCATTGTCCCAGTCTTCCATCATCATTGAAACGCAGCCTGCCTAGATTGAGCCCCTATCATACTTTCAAAGGCGCGATGAACCCTACCCAAGGTGCCGCTTCTTCTACCATCGATCTCAATTCTGAATATGGCACCACTGTCAACCTATCACCCTTCCTGCTGTAGCGCAAGATAAGGCGCGATGAACCCTACCCAAGGTGCCGCTTCTTCTACCATCGATCTCAATTCTGGATGTGGCACCACTGTCAACCTATCACCCTTCCTGCTGTAGCGTAAGATAGTCTACAAACACCGCACAACCATATGGTAGAAAGAGAACCACCAAGCAGTTATCGAACATTTCGTCCTCTTCCCTGTCAGGTCTCCCGTTGGAAGCAACGTCCTGAACGTGCCTACGCCCGAATACGATCCACCTGCGTACTGTCGTACTTTCAACCCCATACGCTAAATATATACTTCCGATTATCAACGTTGGAACATCCCCTGTGTCACAATATATGTTCGCACTCACATCTACAAAGCCTATGGTGACATATCCTAGTCAGACTTTCTTAGTACCGATCCCATCACCCCTTGATGCCACTGTGCCTGCTGGTAGTATACTTGAGCTGTTGCACCATCATGGGTGCCACTGTCGCCGCCATGGACCTCACTGCCGTTTGCTTAACACCCCCACCTTCTTGGGTAGGTGTAACCCATTAGGGGCTCATTCTCATCTTCATCCACCCCTCCTAGTTTGACTCATATCTCCTCAAACTTTCGCATAATGTAGCCGCTGATGCTGGTCCAGCCACTGCTCTGAAACCCTGTGGATGGTGTCCCATTCCAAGTAGCAACCGACGCTTCAGATCGAGCGGTAGGTGGAGTGCTTTACCAAACGATAAATGGTAAACCGCGCTACATACAATTCTTTAGCACG